CCCCCTGAAGAGCGGGAGCGTTCGGAGTGGGTGTTGGCTGCAACAGTCAGCTCCCTAGTGTCCCCCCCTCTGCTACCATTCCGGAAGGAACACTAGATAAGCTGACAGCTTGTTTGTGCCTTGCCCTCACACCTGCCAGTGGCAGTCTCTGAGCGTTAGGAAACCCTTAGATATTTCCCGCCTTAAAGTGACAGGCTGGTGGTTGTGTCACCTTCAGTCACATTTTCTGTTTTATGCCACACAGGGTGCCTTAAAGGGCCAGCAATAAATAGTTGCATATTTGCCATAGGGTGTTCCCCAATACCTCTATATTAGCCTCGCCAATGCAGCACCCCACAGAACAGGAGCGGGCCACTGTACCTACAAGCAGCCTGGGCACCACGCCCCGTGGGACCCTGGTCCCGCAGCCTATTCCCTCACAGAGGGAGGATATGGGGTCGGTAGAGCAATTGAACTCAGAGGAGTTCCACTCCCTGCTTGACGCGACCATGGCAAAATCGGTCACACAAGCAATCTATACGGCGATGGGGGCGATGTCAGATAACCTGACCCAATCCATCAGCCACGCCATCATGGCGTCTGGCCACAGCTCCGGTGACCACAGCTCCAAGGCCCAAGATGATGAGCCTGCTCCCCTTAGCGGTCGCAAGGCAAAGACCCATCACATGGGCAAACACACCTCCAAAAGAGTTGTGACGGACAGGTTGCGCCCTGTCACTGATGAGGACGTGGGGCCCCCACGTAAGAGAGCCTCCCACCGGGCAAAAGCGGTGCGGTCATGGAAATGGGTGAAAGCCAGCAAAGACATATCCGACTCTGATTCGGACCAAGAGGAGGTATTGAGTGAGTCTGAAGGTATGGGCTCGCAAGACTCGGAGAACTCTTCTCCGGAACAAAATTTTTCAGACAGGCCGCCCACTAAGGGTCATGACAAAACGGATGACTCCGTTATCCTTGATCCGCAAGGGGAACCTTTGTTCAACCCGGACGACCTGCAACATCCTAGGTCTACTGAGTGGTTCCCGGCGGACCACGTGGCTCAGTATATAGCAGCCAGAATTAGAAAACCCCTAGACAAGGCTACTAGGAATAAGTTGAGGGCCGAATGCTCACGCCCAATGGTGCCTGATCTGGCATGCACCACGCCAGAACTGGATCCAAAGATTGCCCAGTTTCTGGGAAGGTCGGGCTGGAAAGCCAAAAAAGGCCTAGATTATTCACTACGCCATTGTCAGGATAAGGTGCTAGACTCGCTGGGCCCCAGCGCAAAAATCTTCGACATGGTCGAAGAGACGATTTCAAATGGCACACCTGTGGACCTCTTGGCTATCCGAGAGTGGGCGCAACACTCAATATGTCTCATTGGCAACTCCAATGCAGCACTCTGTACAGAGAGACGAAAGGCGGTCCTCATGAAAATTGACCCGAAGCTGGTCAACATGGCTATTGCTGAACCCGGACCGCAGGCAAAGGGCCTCCTCTTTGGGGATAATTTTGTCAAGGAGTTGGGCACCTATGTTAGTACATTTACAGCCCTGGACAAGGCACAAACAAACTTAAAGCGGGTGTTCGCCCCAAAGGTTTTTGGGGGGGCTGGCAGACAACAGGGCCGTCTGTCCAGCCGGTTATCACGGGGCTCCTATCGGGGCTACCGAGGCTCCCCTGCACCCAGATTTCAGCCACCAGAGGTCAGGAATCCTTCACCATTCTTCCCTGTCCGGGGCAGGCCATGGCAACCCAGGGGGCGCAGAGGCGCTACATACGGCCGACGACCTTATGGTGAGTATCCTCTTTTCTTCCCGAATTTATGCTTCAGCTGTAGGGGGCAGACTAGCTCATTTTATCAGGGCGTGGCACGGACTCACGTCCGATGCCTGGGTTCTCAACGCTGTTGCGGGGTATCAGATAGACTTTGTACAACTCCCAGTCCAACTAGCAGCCCCTCGACCGATGGTCTTTTCCCCGACGGACAGGAGTCTTGTGTCCCAGGAAATCAGATTATTAAGGGAAAAGGGCGCAATTTATCGAGTCGCGTATCATTCCCCAGGTTTCCTGAGCAATCTCTTCCTGGTCCCCAAAAAGGGCAGCGGGGTAAGACCAGTAATAAACCTACGCCCCCTCAATGCGTTTGTACGGTACCATCACTTCAAAATGGAGGGAATCCATTGCCTGCGGGATCTCCTCCGGCTGGCGGACTGGATGGTCAAATTGGACCTCCAAGATGCCTACCTTACCGTTCCCATAGCGGAGGAATGTCACCACCTCCTCCAGTTCCAGTGGAACGAACAGGTGTGGAGGTTCAGGTGCCTCCCGTTCGGCCTGTCGTCCGCCCCGTGGTGCTTTACGAAGCTCTTGAAACCGGCGGTGGCGCTGCTTCGCAGCAGAGGAGTGCGCATGATCGTCTACCTGGACGATATCTTGATCATGGCGCAGGAGGTAAGCATGCTCCGACAACACTTATCATGGACAATACAACTATTGCGCAACCTCGGTTTTCTCATCAATTGGGAAAAATCCGTATTGATTTCCTCACAGTCCATGGAATTCCTGGGTTTCACTATCAACGCAGTCCAAGGGACTCTGAATTTACCGCAGGGAAAGATCAAGGTTATCAAAAAGGAGATCCACAGGACGCTACGTCGATCGACACTCACGGTGCGACAACTGGACAGGATAATCGGACTCCTCTCGGCCTCCATTCAGGCGATCTTTCCCGGGCCTCTACACTACAGGGCCCTACAAAGGTTAAAGATCACACATCTACAATTGGGTCGCTCTTATTCAGACTCCGTGCCGCTCGATCACACGGCCAAGGCGGAACTCGACTGGTGGTTGCAACACATGGAGGCATGGAACGGGAAAGCGATTTTTGGCAACACCCCGGATTGCATAATAGAATCCGATGCCAGCACGCTGGGCTGGGGAGCGCGTTGTGGGCATATTTCCACAGGCGGAAGATGGTCCCGGTCGGAAAAGTCGACGCATATCAACGGTTTGGAACTTATGGCGGGATCATTCGCACTGAAAAGCTTGCTAGGCACCAGGACACATTGTTCCATTGTCCTAAGGATGCACAACATATCAGCAGTGCAATACATCAACCGCCTGGGCGGCACCAGATCCAAGCTCGGATTTGGCCATGGAGTTCTGGCAGTTTTGTCTGGACCGCAACATCTCAGTGCGGGCCGAATACATCCCGGGCCTCTCGAAAACAGTAGCGGATTGGAATTCCAGACACCTACGGGACAACAGCGATTGGCGCTTGAAGCGGGATATATTCCTGCGCCTGCAGACGTTGTGGGGCCCGCTACACATGGATCTGTTTGCGTCTCGGTTGAATACACAACTACCGGAGTTCTTCAGCTGGAGGCCGGACCCGGATGCAGTGGCTACGGATGCGTTCCTCCAACAATGGCCGCGGAAGAGACTGTATGCTTTCCCAACGTTCGCTCTGCTGGCACGGACATTGGTTCACCTCGGCCGCTCGCAGACGACCTTAGTGTTGGTCGCGCCATTTTGGACGGCACAACCATGGTTCCCGTCACTCATGGAGATGTCTATCAACCTCTCCAGAATGCTACCAGCGGACCCTCATCTATTGACGGATCCGGAAGGGAACTCGCACCCTTTGGTACTGCACGGACACCTCAGGTTACTAGCGTGGCTCCTTTCCGGGGATTCTCAGTCATGCCGGAGGTTCCACGGACAACGTTGGAGCTATTGGCAGGGGCCTGGGCAACGGGAACTCGGAGGTCCTACAGATGGGCATGGAACGTCTGGAGTGGTTGGTGCATGGAACAACCAGTGGATCCCGTTTGTGCCCCTTTGACCAGCATTCTGCGTTTCTTGACAGCCTTGTTCGAGCAAGGTCTGTCCTACCGGACTATTAACAGCTATAGGTCAGCGATTTCAGCAGGACATCATGGGCTAGAAGGTGCACCGATAGGGAGACACGCAATGGTATGCAGACTCCTACGAGGTGTTCGTTTTGCAAGGCCACCACGACCTAAATATACATCCACGTGGGATGTAAATTTAGTCCTGAACCTACTGGAGCAATGGCCACGGAACTCCGAGCTTACGCTGAAACAACTATCAGCGAAACTGGCAATGCTTTTCTGCTTGATATCATGCAAAAGAGTATCCGAGGTGCGGGCATTGGATGTAGACGCACGTTCATTCACTCCATCAGGAGTGACGTTTCACATTTCCAGACTTACAAAAACAGCGATTTCGACAGTATCCTATCCAGCGTTCCCTCATAATGTAAATCTATGCCCTGTAATTTGTCTCAAAGAATATGAAGAACAAACACAGGCGTTACGAGACCCTAATAGGCATGAACTATTTATAGCCATCAAAGCACCGCATCACCCAGTATCGACAGTTACGATAGCTAGATGGGTAAAATGGGTAATGGCCTCCGCAAATATTGATACCTCCGTGTACAAAGCACACTCCACGAGGGGGGCCATAGCGACCAAGGCATTTACCTTAGGTTGTAGATTGGAAGACCTGAAACGTACGGCGGATTGGTCACGGGAGTCCACTTTTAGAGAATATTATTTTCGACCTCCAGAACATGTCACGTCCTCAGTCATTGCGCAGCTTTAAACTAGCACAATATGAGCCTCCGTGTCCTTTAATAAAATTACCAGATTTTACTAATTTCATGACGTAAAGTCATGATTTTATAAAGGACACGGAGGCGAGTATTGGCCCACCCGAGGAGGATTGCGGCGATGGCATGGTAAGTACCCCGAGGTTGGTATTAGATAACATGATTTCCGGACTCCCACCCAGTAAGTTGAAGTGATAAGAATTATAGGGTGATTGACATGACGTTTAGAATTCTGTGTTCCAAGCATGTGACATAAGGCAGTCTACAACAGGTATGATAATTTGTAGAGGTTGCCAGATATAATAAGGAATAGTATGGCACATGTAACATGCAGTTATTAGATCACACATTACCATATTTCTTTTCTCTCCCGTTTCAGCTTAACGTTTCCACATCAACGACATGGAGGATCGGTTCTCGTCTCCGTTCATTTGGTTTATGTTTCACGTTTGTTATGGAGAAGATAACGACATACCGGTTATGGGTCAAGTCATCTCGCAAGGTTTTTACAGTTCGGCTTTGGCAGGACCAAAGAAAGAGGGAGGGGAAAGGTCACATGGGTGGTTATTGATTGAAGGACTGTTCCTATTGGTTGGGATAACAGACTATGTTAACTCTTTGAGTACTCAGTTTGATTTCGTTTGTTTATGCATTTCTTTTTCTTTGCTGCTGAGGTATATTAAAGAAAGAGAAAGCACAATACTCGCCTCCGTGTCCTTTATAAAATCATGACTTTACGTCATGAAATTAGTAAAATCTGGTAATTACATGCAAATGTACGTCTGCTTGGAATAAATCTGCTCTTTTGTTTTGAAGCCCTATAAGTTCTTTCTTTCACGGTGGAGTAATAGATTTCAATTTTAAGTCATCTTTTTCACCTCTATATCTGCACACTGTGATGGCGTGATGCATTATTGGGCTGGTATAGAATTTTTTTCCAGGGCTGCTTCGCATTCCCAGTCCGGCCCTGGTACCCACATTGTTTCTAGTTTGTGCTCGGTGTCTCTTGCTTTTTCCAGTGATGTCACAGCTTATGAGCAAGACACATGTAACCATGAAATCTTACAGACAATTTGTGTTACTATAACCAATGTAATTTTATTGGAAATTTGTCCGTACAAAAACAACCCCGTGGTTTTTCTAATAATTGAAGTTCTCTTCAGAGGCATTACTCGGGTCTCTGTAGGGTTGTTTATTTAATATTCAAGCTGGCTGACTATTTTTCCTCTGTTTATTTTTTTCAAAATATGCAAAAATAGCTGCCTAGTGCTGTAAGGTAATTACATAGCTGTTCGTGTACAACTGCCAAAGTCACATGTAATGTACACGGCTTATGTAAGAAGCAGCCATTAACATATATAAACACTTTTTTTCATTTCAATATTTATGGATCCATATTTTTTTCCTTGGTCTGCTCTACTATTTATTATTTAACAAGACTGCAGATAATTTGTACAATTAAAGTTATAATTGGCCTTAGTATATATCAAAATGGAAATTTGAAAATTGATAACAGCTTGCTGGTTTTGTTTAGAATAATTTTAGTGTGTGTTTTTTTTGTGGGGACTAATCTGAAAAACCTCATTTGTATTTGTGTTTAACTTATTTTGAGTGCAAATTTTTTTTTTTTTTTTTATGAATTGCTATGATTATTACTGTGTGGTGTCTGAGAGGTCTACATTAATAATAGTGCACCTCACAAAAATGACTTATGACCCTGTCCTACAACACCCTGACTGGCTCACACCATTGAACTACTGTGAGAGCCTCACACAGTTACCCTTTAGCCCAACTGGAAATGGCTGCCTAATCCAGATTAAGGGAACAGTGCACACACATAACAAAAAAAATAAACAGAAAAAACAGTTTTAAATCTTACAAGGCTACTTAAAATCATCTCTACATGGTGGGCTTAAAACAATGTGGTCATGTGGTATAACAGTATCCCTATATCGGTTTGCTAAGATGGGTGATTTTAAGTAGCCTTATAAGATTTAAGTGTTTATTTTGTGTGCACTGTTCCCTTAATCTGTATTTTTGTATATATTTTAGACTTTTTCAGCAGCACCGCTGTTGAGAAATGCATATTCGGAGTGTGTCCCCCCCAATCCAGATGCCTGGTTGCAACAGTGATTTCACTTGGCTGTTGCTAGCTGTCTCAGAAGTGAGGCAATGCAGTAATAGAGACTAATTCGCTGGCAGATCACCATAGGAGCCAATTACTGTATCTACTTGCCTTGGTTGTCAGCTAAGGAAATGTAGCTCCCATGTAATGAGCGCAGCTTAAGGGAAAGGAGGGTTCACTGGGCTAGGAGGTGGGCTGAGGGGGAGCTTAGATTTGTTATTGTGGCAATGTCAATGAGCAGTGGCCAAGGCCAGTAAGGTATTGTCATGCATGAAAAAGGGCATTCATTCTCGGGACAAGAATATAATTTTGCCTCTTTATAAATCACTGGTAAGACCGCATATTGAATATGCTGTGCAATTTTGGGCACCTGTTCTAAAGAAGGATATTATGGCACTAGAAAAAGTGCAGAGGCGGGCTACAAAATGAATAAAAGGAATGGAACATATCAGCTATGAAGTAAGGTTAACAAATTTAAACCTATTTAGTTTAGAAAAACGTCGCCTGAGAGGGGATATGATAACATTATACAAATATATTCGGGGCCAATACAAACCATTGTGTGGAAATCTATTCACAAACCGGACTTTACATAGGACACGAGGCCATGCGTTTAGACTGGAAGAAAGAAGATTTCGTCTAAGGCAAAGGAAAGGGTTTTTTTACTGTAAGAACAATCAGGATGTGGAATTCTCTGCCTGAAGAAGTGGTTTTATCAGAGTCCATACAGATGTTCAAACAGCTACTAGATGCATACTTGCAAAAACAGAATATTCAAGGATATAATATTTCAATGTAGGGTAATAACTGCTTGATCCAAGGATAAATCTGACTGCCATTCTGGGGTCAAGAAGGAATTTTTTTCCTAGCTTGTTGCAAAATTGTGCTTCAAACTGGGTTTTTTTTTGCCTTCTTTTGGATCAACAGCAAAAAACAAATGTGAGGTAGGCTGAACTTGATGGACGCAAGTCTCTTTTCAGCTATGTAACTATGTAATTGGGGTGGGCTGATATATATAGGGCAGCCATTTTAAAGTCTGTTCATTTTTAATTAGCTTGCCAGAATGGGTTTGTACCTCCCTCTTGTTAAATTGGTCTTCCCCTCTTTTTAGTCCCCATTTTCACAACAGGGGGCTGTAGCGGTAAATGTTGGGGGAAAATACCATATAGCGACCTGTCACGTTATCACTGTGATCAGCTATCACAATGATCAATAAGTATTATGGTCAATATATTAATTATTTAATTGCTAGGGATAGGGTTAGGTAGGAGTACAGCTAACCAGGTTTAGTTAGAGGTTGGGTTAGCTAGGATTGGTTTGGGTTAGTTGGGGTTAGTTGCGATTAGCTTCAGTTTGGATTAAGATTTAATAGGGCTAGGGTTAAATAGGGCTAGAAATGGCACTACCTTTGATGCTTGTCAGTATGGTAACACAAATAGTAAAAAGGGGAGGTGATGGAGTGATGTTCCAGGAAATTGCATAACCTTTTTTTTTAACAGATTTGGCCAAAATCAAATGCACTTATTTATTTATTACTGGTATTTATAAAGCGCCACCAGATTCCACAGCGCTGTAAAATTAGTGGAGAACATAGAATATACACAGACAAATACAAAAGGTAGAGAAAGCCCTGCCCATAAGCTGATATCTAGCCATTTGAGCTCTTTTATACAAAGTGCTTACAATCTAAAGGATACAGTGGGGAATTGAGACAAAAGGTAGCAGGGAAAGTTTGGAGGTGATGGCTAAAAGAGTTAACAGAGAAGCAGCTATTGGTAAATTGTAAAGGGAATGAGGAGGTAATTGAGTGAGAATCTCAAACAGTTGGAGGAGCATGCTATATATTTAGGGGGACCCTGGGTGGGCAGGAGGAGAGAAGGGTGGGTGGGACGTGGTGAGGATAAAATGCAGTTCTTCACTTAAAGAGACAATCCACCATCAAAATAAAAAGTAAAAATCATTACTTAGTAGATACACCCCTAATGAATAAAAACAACTTTCAATAAGGTGAATTCAAAGTGAATTTCAAATTTAAAGCTAGAGTAACGTACAGCACAGCTGACTTAAAAGTCATTTAAAAAAAAAATGTTTTCATATCACATGTAATGCCATGCTATGAGTACATATAGGCTATGCGTTTAATGAGCTAGGTATAATATGTATGAGTGCAAGAGATAGCATTACATCATGGTGGAAAAGCACATGGCAAGTGTGCCAAAAAGGCCTCAGTCAGCTTTTTAGAAGGGGTTAAGATGTGATATTTTACTTTGTCTACTTTTAAGAAGGCTCCCTGTATTTTCTCAACTATTAGGATTATTTGTACCATATTAAATACATAAAAGGAATATGTAAAACTGAATTCTACGTTAAATTGAATTAATCTCATGTTACTCTTGTCATTATGTCAGAGGAAAGATATCTTAGCAGGATTTCCAATTATTAAAGTAATCTATGATAAGTGCAGTTAAGTAAAATGCAATGAATGTAAGTGTGAAAGTGGTCTTTCATGTTTACACATTATTATTTAACGTTCTACTGGAATTTAAACACAAATGTGAAGCTGCTAGACTTGGCAGATCATTTAAAAGCTTACAGGATTTTCTAACCAGTCATTTGAAATGACATTTTCACTACCTAAATATTTGTCTATGAAATGGGTTGCATGGCACACGTTCTGGCAAAGGAACAGGTTCCTTGTGAGTTCGAAAACAGCACTGTTTCCCCATAAACCTGTCATGCTTTATTTTAATGAAACATATATAAAATGAGATGATGTTTGCCACGTCTCAGCAAACTAATTCACTTTGGCTTTTCCCTGTTGAGTTCCACTATTAGCACTTTAATCATTTTGTCTTTAAGAAGCAAGGCAGAAAAGTTTTACTTTTGGAACTCCAACAAAAAATGTTAGAAGGTGTTTAATTTCCAGGTATTCCATCCATTTGTATAAACACAGAAATATGGCCTTATTCATAGAGTCTTATGCACAAGGCTATGTGTTTAGATAGTGTAAACCACTTTGCTGATCGGGTTGCACTAGTGGTTACATTATGGTGTTGGTGGTAGACATTGTTGAGTAAAACGTTGATGAGTAGAACTGCTTTCTTAAGTATTATACTAAAGTTTCATTTCTCTCCACTAGGAAACTTAATATATTTTAAAATAACACCTACCACCCAACTGCTAGAAAAATATCACATTTTTAACACAATAATATCCAACTATCGTAGTGCCGTCACTTTCGAAACCATGGTACTTTACGGTGAAGGACAATCAAACTGCCTACCTCTGGTTACCACTTTATTATAGCACGAGTGCAGTTGAGCTGCCTTTACCCCATGAATTGGACTCCGTGGGTGATGTGTGAAAGGTTAATTGCAAAAATAATAGGGTTTGGGTTGTAAAACGTATCAAAGCTATTTACAGTAA